AGTCGAAGGCGAACCCTCTAATACATCAAGCATAAAGGCCGCATTAAGTATGAGAGAAGAGCGCCTCAGTGAACGAGTCAGGTACCTCATCCGTTTGCCTACGGAAGTGGTCATCGCGGACGGTCTCACGAAGACAGGACTGCTCAAGCCGCTCATGGGGCATCTCACTAAGAGATGTGGCTATCCTGCCGCCAAGGGGGAAGCTGATCACCGTGCGGCGGATCCTGGACACGAAGGAGGGCTACTCGGAGCAAGACCTGCTCGACCTTGAGGCCTGACCGCCTTGCTGCACAGGCCTCCGCCCTCGCCCGTCTCTTGATTGGATCAGCTCTCTTCCAGAGAGTTCGGCGAGAGGTGGAAGAATTCAAGAGAGAAGGATGTCCCAGAAATGTGGACGCATCCAGCGAATCAGATATCCAGATCCGGAGCACCAGAACCAGAGCGCAGAAATGGGGCCGAAAACAGCAGGTCCCATCGAGACTCGATTCCTGCGGACATATGCGGCTCAAGGTGGTCTTTGAAAAAAGAGCGATCTCTGGTAGGAGGAAGGGGGGGAGCGAGGGAGGGAGGGAGGGAGGCGGAAGGGAGCGAGCGAGGGAGGGAGGGAGGAGGGAGGGGAGGGGAGGGGAGGGAGGGAGGAGGGAGGGAGGGAGGGAGGGAGGGGAGGGAGGGAGGGGAGGGGAGGGGAGGGAGGGGGAGGAGGAGGAGGGAGGGAGGGGGAGGAGGGAGTGGAGGGGAGGGGAGGGAGGGAGGGAGGAGGGGAGGGAGGAGGAGGGAGGGAAGGAACGAGGCGAGGGCGGCGGCCTCTCAAGGGGAAAACCTCCCTGGGCGCGGTCGGCAGCGCACGGCGTCCCGCACGGGAGCCGTGCTGGGCCCCACGACGTCGTCGTCGTCGTCGTCGTCGTCGTCGTCGTCGTCGTCGTCGTCGTCGTCGTCGTCGTCGTCGTCGTCGTCGTCGTCGTGAAGAGGAGGAGAGGAGGAGGAGGAGGAGGAGGAGGAGGAGGAGGAGGAGGAGGAGGAGGAGGTGGTGGTGGTGGTCACTGCATAAGGGAAACAGAATCCCGAGCAGAGCAACACGCACCACGACCACGACGACGCCGACGACGACGACGACGACGAGACGAGGCGCGCTTACGATCCGCACCGAAGCACGGATTTGGGAAAGGGCCCACCCTGCAGGTTCGGTTAAACAGCACATCGTTGAGCGGTGCTGCAGCCTCCCCTGAGCACAGGCCCCCCCAGAGCATCAGCCAGACAAGTCGGGTTTGCACCCTCATGCCTTGCTGGACTCTGGGCGCGTTTCGGCACCCTCTCCCCCAACCTCGTCAGGGCCACCGACAAGGGAGAGGGCGGCGGTGGCCGACGCGTCCCCGAGCTAAGAAGCTCAAAGCGCCGCGGCTCAGAGAGCCGGGAAGACAGACAGACAGACGGACGGACGGACAGCCAGGCGGCGTGCAATGCCTGGCAAGCCAAGTGGGTGGTCACTGCATAAGGGAAACAGAATCCCGAGCAGAGCAACACGCACCACGACCACGACGACGCCGACGACGACGACGACGGAGACGAGGCGCGCTTACGATCCGCACCGAAGCACGGATTTGGGAAAGGGCCCACCCTGCAGGTTCGGTTAAACAGCACATCGTTGAGCGGTGCTGCAGCCTCCCCTGAGCACAGGCCCCCCCAGGGCATCAGCCAGACAAGTCGGGTTTGCACCCTCATGCCTTGCTGGACTCTGGGCGCGTTGAGGAGGAGGAGGAGGAGGAAGAGGAGGTGTGGAGGGGGCGCCCTCAAATCGTTTCCAGGGGCTGGTGGGCAGGGCGCTTGTGCCGCTTGTGCGCAGGGCGCCCCTCGGGCAAACCCGTCGGCGCCGCTGGCTCTTGCTCCTTCCTCCTCCTCCTCCTCCTCCTCCTCCTCCTCCTCTTCATCCCTCCTCCTCCTCTTCATCCCTCCTCCTCTTCATCCCTCTCCCTCCCTCTGCAGCGTCGCGTCCTCAAGCGATCCCCTGGGCCTGAGTCGGGGGCTGACGCCCGCATGCCGCGGGTGTGTGTGCCACGAGCGACCCCGCAGAGCAGCGACACAACGCTCCGGGAGCTCCCAACGTGCCCGACGAGGGCGGCTCGGGGTGATTGCGAGAGAGCCCCAGCGGGGCCCCGCAACCCTGGTCTCGGGGACGTCTCTTGGAGTCTTGGGGAGGCCTGTTGATCGCCGTTGGGCGACCGGGGAGCCGTCTCGGGCGCGGCACCTCCACCGAACCCTCTCTCTCTCTCTCGGACAGGCTCGTCGACGCCGTCCTTGGGCTTGGGCTGGTCGAGCGGAGCGGCGGACCTTCTTGGAGCTCCCTTGGGGCCGTGGCGGGCTGTCTGCGGGGGGAGGTGGTCGCCTGGAGGCGTTTCTCTCAATCGGAGAGTGCAACCCATCACTCGGCTCTTTCGATGGAGGCGAGCGTGCCGCTCGAGCCCAATCGCCGGTGGCGAGCCCGGCCCGGGAGGCCCCGAGAGGCTCCCTGTGCAAAATCTGCCCCCTCCGGGTGCTGCAAAAGTGCTGGCCAGCAAGAGGTCTATAAAAGTGCTGGCCAACAAAAACCGTATTATGTCCGCAGGCGGAGCTCACCTGCACGTCGGCCCAGCAATCTGACACGCCTGTGAGCGAGTGGCGTATCGAGTGACCCGCCGAGGAACCTCCGCCGCTGAACACCTAGAGGTGAGGGAAAGTGTAGTATAGACCAGAGAAGGAAGACGAAGAGCAACCAGCTCCTCAATGATGATGATGATGATGACGATGATGATGATGATGATGATGATGATGATGATGGTGGTGATGGTGATGATGTTGGTGATATTGATGCTGCTGATGATGGTGATGATGATGATGGTGGTGTTGGTGATGATGGTGATGATGCTGATGCTGCTGATGATGATGATGCTGATGAGAAATGGGGAACTTGCAGAGCTGACCGCTGGCGCACGGTGCATAGAACTAAGCCTTTCAGCCTGTCACTCCCGGGCGCAAATGGCACACCGACGGACGGTCTGACAGATCTCCCCTGTTGGGGGATCAGATGTGAGGACGAGATATCGACTGCCCACTCCGGAAGCTATAAAAATGCTGGCCAACAAAAACGATATAAAAGTGCTGGCCAGTCGGAGAATGCAGTCCAGCACTCGGCTAGCTCAAAGGGGGCGAGCGTGCCGCTCGAGCCCAATCGCTGGGGCTGAAATCGCCGGTGGCGAGCTCGGCCTGGGAGGCCCCGAGAGGCTCCCTGTGCAAAATCTGCACCCTCCAGGTGCTGCAAAAGTGCTGGCCAGCAAGAGGTCTATAAAAGTGCTGGCCAACAAAAACCGTATTATGTCCGCAGGCGGAGCTCACCTGCACGTCGGCCCAGCAATCTGACACCGCGCCTGTGCCCAGGTGACGTACCGAGTGACCCGCCGAGGAGTCTCCGCTGCTGAACAATCAGAGGTGGGGGCAATGTGTAGTATCAAGAGAAAGGAGGTGAGGACGAATAGCGACTAGCTCCTGAATAAATAGGGAACTTGCAGAGCCGACCGCTGGCGGACGTCACATGCAAGTAAGTCAGCTCAGTCTCGCACTCACGGGCGCGAGCGACAAACCGACTGGCGTGCTGCCAAATCTCCTCTGCTGAAGTTCAGCAGTCTGAGCGAGGAGCATGCGGGGAGTAGATCGAAGGAGGGGAGAGGAGGGAAGAGTAGGCAGAATAAGGAGCGACCCGTTCCAAAACTAAAGCGCTTAGCCGTCCGAAGGCGGAGTTCACCTGCAAGTCCTAGGGAAGTAAGTGGTTCGCAAGCCCCTCTTGGAGCTCTCTTAGGGGTTGCTCGGGGCCGTGCTGGGTCCACTTTCGGACGCTTGGGGCCGTAATGGGCCGTATTGAGCCCCTCCAGGGGCCGTTGTTGAGGCAGTCTTGGGCCGTTCTTGGCGCGCTCTTGGGGCGTTGCTTCAGCAATCTGTGATGTTTGGGGCACACGGGCTGCCCTGCTCCTGCGGCGACCAGGGAAGCAAGTAATTAGTGACAAGCCATACATCATCTCCAATGCCTGCCGCGGCCTGGCGGGGCCTCCCTGGAAGGTCAAAAAGCACTGGTGAGGCTGGTGGTATGGGGAGAAGATGAAACCCGACGCATCACACGGTACATACGCGGATGCTTGCCGCGGTCTGGCGGGGCCTCCCTGGAGGGTCAGGCGACCTTGGTGGCATTGGTGGAACGGGACGGGCACGAAACCTGCTTAGCAACATGGTATGCGGCTGCTTGCCGCAGTCTGGCGAGGGCTCCTGGAGGGTCGGGCAACACTGGTGGGACTGGTGGAGTGAGAGAGGCACGACACTTGATGAGTACACGGAATGAGGGTGCCTGCAGCGGTCTGGCGGGGCCACCCTGGAGCGTCAGACGGCACTGGTTGGCCTGGTGAGCGAGTGGGAAGGACAACAGAACCAGATAAATAGCACGGTGTACGAATGCCGAGGCCTCCCCAGAGGATCGGACGGCACCGACGGGACATGCGGAGAAGGACCTCCAACGAGTATCGCCGCCAAATTTGCCTGAAGACAGCCTAGAGCATTCGAAGAAAACCCACACAGGGCCCCAAGACTCTTGAAACAAAAATCTCAAGGCGGTCGAAAATGGCCCCGATACGGCCCCCGGAGCACTCTTAATCGTGAACTGGTCGTTGACGAACATCGTGGCTGGCATCAAGATGGGCCCAAGAAGCCCCCTCTAGGCCCCCCAAAGACTCCCAGGAGACCTCCAGAGGCTCCACAATGACCCCAAAGAAGCATTCGGGTCCCCAAGAGACCCTCCAAAGAGCCGCCCCCCCTCCCCCAAAAAAGTGAGGACAGGGAAGGGTTCGCAGGGAAGGGCGTTAAGGAATATCAGTTTTGAGGAAAGGAAGGAAGAGGAACAGGAGGAGAACGGCAACACTGAAAACGAGCACACTGCTACGTGTGGCCCCACAGTTTGTTAGCTCAGAGCAACAGTCGCCGTGCTGTACGACAGGGTACACTTGTGCGCGTGCGGGGAAGCGGTATCTTCCCTTCCCTATTGTGTTCCTCTGTTGCTCCTCCTCCTCCTCCTCCTCCTCCTCCGCCTCTTCCTCCTCATTATCATCAGCATCATCCTGCTACTGCTACTCCTCGTCTTCCTCTTCTCCTGATTGTCCTTTGCACGGGCGGAAGTGAGCGCGGTCTGGAGGGCAACCTCGGACGTTGCGTTCGCTGCCTTGTCGTAACTCAGACGCGCCCGGCATCATTTGGGAGCATTCGGGAGCACTCCCACTATGCTCGAGTTGGGCTCATACCCTATGTGTCCTTTGCATATGTACAGACGGTAAAGGATTTTGTGCTTATGAACTGAAAAAGCCTATATTCGGCATGGGAACGGAGATGACATTCGGGAACACCCAGGCAGCAGCCGCGGGGAAAATGCTGCATCGCCTAAAAAGGGGAACCGTGGGAGAAAAAAAGACGTGGATCCTGCACCAGCCTTGGAGACACTGGGCTCATGTTCGAAACATGGACTCACCGGGACGAGATCTGCGAGGCTAGACATCGTCTGGCAAAGGCCCTTAGAAGCCGTACATAGTACAGCAGAGGGGCTTCTGGTTGGTGCAGTCCGTATCAGCAGCTTCTAATAATACGGGACTGCGCCGACATGCCTATCCGTAGAGATGAACCAGTCGATGCCGAAACATATTGACCGAGAGAGAGAGAGAGGTAGAAAAGAGAGAGAGAGAGAGAGACCAGGCTGAACTCACGAAGCGTATTACACATTACTCACCGCTGTGTTTTCCGGACCATTCGACTCGGGGGGCTCAACGGGGGGCGCCACCTCCACGTCCTTGACGACCTCTTCGGCGCAGCTGGTGATCGACGGACCCCTCACGCCCGTTACGACCTCCGCAGCACATTCGACGAGGTAGCCGACCTGCTTCTCGAGGGACGACATGCGAGCGTTCGCGACGAAGGAGACACTGGGGCTGGCGAGCAGCGCAGCGTAGCTCGACGACACGTGGGCCTCTGGGATCTCGGCGCCCCTGGCGATCTGCGGGGTTAGCACTTTCTGCATCGTGTCCACCGTGGGGAAGCTGAAGTCCTCGGCCCTCGCGGCGAGCATCGGCGCTGACGGCCAGGCTTGCAGCGCCGCGGCCGCGGTCTGCACGAACGACTCGGAGCCCAGGCACCCGCGGGTGAGGACGACCACCAGCAGCTGGGAGGGCGCTCGAGCCTGGCGCACCTCGGAGTCCTGCATCAAACCCTTGAGCTTCCAGCCCTTGATCGCGCCGACCATGCTCTTCAGCACCTCCGCCGCCGCAATGGCCTCCGAGTCGCAGACGTCCGCCACGACGCCCACGTCGTACTCCCCGTCGTCGTCCTCGGGGCCGTCCGCCGCCTTGCCTGCTCCACAGGTGCTGGACACCATGGCTATGGCCTGCAGGGACGCACCTTGGGAAACGAAAAATGCCATAAACATAAAAACTCGGAGGTCCGCGCGGATTTCTCGGATCGGCGCTCGGGCCCCCTGGCGGCGCCTCCGGTGCCGCCCCTGGCGCGCTCCGCGCGCCAGGGAGGGGGGTCGAGCGCCGTTCCGAGAAATCCGCGCGGACCTCCGAGTTTTCATGTTTATGCCACTTTTTGTTCCCCTAGCACCGTGGCTGCTGGCCAAGCGGTTCGCCACCACACGGCAGGAGATCTTGGAGGCGCCGCGCAGGTAGGAGTAGGCGTCCTTCACCATGGCCAGCGAGATGCCCTCGGCGGTGCAGCGCCGGAACGCCTCAAAGGTGAACAGACAGGGAGGAGGAGGAGGAGGAGGAGGAGGAGGAGGAGGAGGAGGAGGAGGAGGAGAAGGAGCTGGAGGGGGAGGGAGGAGGAGGAGGAGGAGGAGGAGGAGGAGGAGGAGGAGGAGGAGGAGGAGGAGGAGGAGGAGGAGGAGAGGAGGAGGAGGAGGAGGGGGAGGAGGAGGAGGGGGAGGAGGAGGAGGAGGAGGAGGAGGAGGAGGAGGAGGAGGAGGAGGAGGAGGAGGAGGGGGAGGAGGGGGAGGAGGAGGAAGAGGATCTGGATGCGGATACCACGTTCTGACCAAGGCTCCAAGGCGAATCCGGCCGCGGTGGCGAGGGCCCACCCCGGCGGCCCAAGCGGGCGAGCGCGAGGGAGAGGCACGGGCGCGCTGCGTTCTGCTCCGCGGAGCCTCCGCGGACCAGCGCGTCGCGATGGCCGCCTCGTCGAGGTCGGCGTCGCACAGCTCGGTGTAGGAGTCCAGGGCGACCGGCACAAGCCGCACGCCGTTCGTGTGGGCGGTGGTGACCTGCCCGGCGCACTGCGGGCTGGAGAGGGTGCCGCCCGAGAGGAGGACCACGACGTTGTCTGCCTGGAGGCGGCGGTGGCGCCCGAAGGAGGCCAGGGCAGAGGCGGAGTGCAGGCACCGCACCACCAGAGAAGCAGCGCACACCGAAGAGCGAGAAGGCTTTTTCCCGGCCTCGGCGGGCCTGGGCCACAGGCAGGTCCCCCGACATATCATGGAAGGAACGGCCCGAAGCCCGAGCCCCTCCTGGGCGACAAGCGGGTCTTACTTCAGCGCCCGAAATGTAAGGGGGTCGCACGTCATCGCCAATGCGTCGGCGACGTAGGCAGCGATGCGGCGCGATCCTCCGACAGCAGTGCTCCTGCCCCGTTTGGGCGGCCAGGACTGCCAGCTGGCAGCGCATCAAGTCGAAGATGTCCTCCAGGTTCCAGTCGAGGTTGTCCGCGGCCAAGAAGATACCCTTCTTGTCACCGATCCTCTTTTGCATGTCTATCTTGACCCAACGGGCCGTCATGGCGGTGTCTGGGATGTGGCACAGGAACGCCGTCCACCGGTCCTTCGGCACAAACCGGCGGTACGCAAGGAAGGCCAAAAAGATGCCGACCGCGCCGAATACGAAGACCATGATGATGGTGAAGAAGACCTCGAGGTCCGCCACCATCTCGTCCCCGTCGACCTTGATCAGTAGCGAGGAGCAGGTGAGCAGGAGGATCATGCACCCCATCACCCATACGTCCAACATGTTCGGGATCGCGCCCCTCCAAGGCTGATACGTCGCGTGAATCTTACCGAACACCACCATCGTGAGAACCAGGAAGATCATCTGTCGGTGGCCGTAGTCGGCAAAGATCACTGGGATCAGCGCGATGAACAGTGTACGCATCAGGTAGATAGGGGTGAAGTAGAAGCACTTGGCAGTGAAACGCTGGAACATGAATCGGTACCTGGACATGATGATCGAGCCGCGCGCAGATAGCGCCAGGGCGGGGTAACTGATGGTAATGTACAGAACGATCGAGAAGAAACCGACTCCGTATACGAGCACAGCGATGGTGCCCATGACGGCCATGGCAACCCACTCAGAGTCAACGTAGCAGATGATGGAAGGGTTGGATGACAGTGAGGATGTTCCGTTGGGGCTGCTGACGCAGTGGAACGGCTTCAGGGCGGTCATGTTGAGCATGAGGAACAGCACGAGGGTGAGCACGCCGACGGAGTTGATGACGTGGTCCTTGCTGATGGGCTTCCCGAGCGCGAAGTGCATGATGGCGAATATCGCGCACAGCAGCGACAAGCCCAGAGGGAAGGACAGCAGCTGAAGAACATATTTTGCCACCGAGTCCGAGTCAGAGACCCCACACGAGAGGTTCAGCGCCGAGTAATTGAAGGCCGCGATCGAGAAAGTACTCAGCATGCTCCTCATCGGTTCGACCCAGTCGATCTTCATCGTGAAAAATAAAGACATCGTCTGGACAATCATCACCGTCTGGCTCATGCAGATGGCAACAGAGACGGTATTCATCCTGATCTTGGTCACGTCCACCCTTGCGAAGAACGCCACCGCAGAAAGCCCACATACGACCAGGAAACTGGCCCCGAGGAGGGGCAACCAAGCGCTTCCTTCGCACTTCGTGCATTCGCCCTTCGACGCCCTGTGATAGGCGGGCCTGCAAGAGGCGCAGCCGATGACAGAAGGATCGCGCCCGGCCGCGCACGTGCCGGCTTCTCCTCCCGGGCACTCCAGGTCGTTCTGGCACCGGTAGACGGAGTACTCCCTGGAGTTCATTTTGATCATTCGCGACCGCAACGGGCGTTATGGGGGGGAGGGGGGGGGGAGCGGGACAGGGGGGGGGCAAAACGTAACGTCCCCCCCCCCCAGGCTGTGGTGCCAGACGCACTGCGGCAGTGCAAGGGACGCATTGAGGGGGGGGGGCGTAACCTTATGGGGGGGGGGGAAGGGGGGGGAAGGCAGGGAGCATAACGCTAGTCATGGCCCAGAGGGTTAAAAAACACTCTCCTGTCGATCCCATTCTGTTCGCTGACCCAGAAGCCGGCACTGACCATCGGCGCATCGTTGCCCTTCTCACATTCCATGCCCGCCGGGCACGCCTTGCAGTCGGTCCTTGCGCCGGACGACTCCGAGTGGCCCGCCGCACGGTAGTAACCCGCGTCACAAACGCAGTCCCACGAGGTCTCGGCGGCACGGACCATGGTGCTCTCGTGCGCAAGGCAACTCGTGCAATTCGTGTTGCCGCTGCCTTCGGCGTAAGTGGCCACCGCACAATCCGTGCACGCGGTGTTGCCCTGGGAGTCTGTGAACTTTCCAGACGAACACGGCTCGCATGCGGTCTGACCGGGAGACTTCTGGAATGAGCCAGCCGGGCAGGAGGAGCAGATTGTCTGCTCGGTTCCGTTCCAGAAGGCACTGTAAGTCCCTGGCTCGCACCAGCCGCAACTATCCGCGTTCAGGCTCGACGACAGGAACTCGCCGTCCTTGTTTACGAGACCCTGACCTGGATTGCACACGAGCTGTCCTGGCAGCCACTGGTGCCACAGCTCTGTGTTCGCACGCACCCAATCGCAGGCCATGTCCTCGACGGTCGCGCCATCGGTGGTGCTCTTCATCATCGCAATAATGTTGCTCTCGGGAACCCACAACTCCTTGGCCACGAGCGCGGCGTCGCCAGCAACGCTGCCAAAGCCCCGGGCCATCAGCTTCCTCAGCGGGATGGCCTGCAGCTGAGAGACCTGGAGCCCCTGGATCTCGTACTGCTCCTTGTTGTAGGGCGGGAAAGCTATTATCTTGAGATCGCTCTTGATGAACAGATCGTCTGGGTACCACCAGTACGTCAGCGGAATCTGCGATGCGATGATGCTCGTCCAGTCTCCGTAAGATCTAATGCTCGCGAGCGCGATGGGCATGTGGAAGTATGATGCCTGGTGTAGGATGGCGTTCCCCCAGAACTCCATCGTGATGATAGGGATGCACGTGTCTGGATCCTCGCGGCAGGCAGGGGACAACCACCAAATGCCCTCGTAGTCGCATTGCCACTCTCCGGTCTGCGTGCTCTCGTTGTAGCTCACCGTCGTGTCGTTGGGGAACTGGACGTGGTAGTCCCTGAGGATCGGGTTCACGCGGTAAGGCATCTCCGTCAGCCTCAGCTCATCGCACGTGAAGAAGTAGGAAGAATGATTGGTGAAATTGGGCAGCAGACGACCTAGATCACTAAGCTTTGTGAAGTGTCTACTCAATGCCTCGGCGCTGAACTCAGACGTGTTATAGCCGCGGTACCAGTCGAGGATCAGCTTGTCCTGTCTGAGACCAGCATTGTTGGAGATCGGATTGATGAAGACCCCCTCGTCGCCGTAATAGCCCACCGTGCCGATCTCCTCGGGCGCCTTCTCTGGATAGTTGCTGGTCCATACGTCCATCTGTTGACGGAAATAGTTCTCCCAAATCTCAAAGGCAAAATGATTCCGCGAGAGGATCTTGCCATCAGGGTCCTGCGCTTTCAGACTCTGCCAACAATCACTGCCGAAATCTTCGCAACCTCCGATGGCGTACACCGACTGACCAGAGTTGCCCAACGTACTCGCTGCGATCGTGACGTTGTAGCCGACTGCCTCCTCCGCGATGATCTTGAAGATGTGGCTGAGCAGCTTGCTCGAAGTCCACCAGCCATGCACGACGCCCAAGGGCATCTCTTGTCCTTCCTCGGTGACAACGTTCTTGCGCTGGAAAGGGAGCTTCAGATTTCCGCCGGGCACGTGTCCACTCTCGAGGCACGTCGTCGCCGAAATCGGAGCGGGAGCCACCGCGGCGAGAAGGCCCAGCGCGAGTCGCATCGTCGCCATGCGTGCACGCAGGAGAGGTGACAGGCGAACTCGGGCAGCGCGGTGCTGATTTCTGGACGATGGTCTGGGCAAGATGCTCCTTAGCGGCACTGCCTCGAGTCTCGAGTCGAAACCTACTCTTGGAAGACTGGGATGCGGGTGCGGATGAAGAGAAGGGGAGGTGGACAAGCAGGGCAGCGCGCTGACGAGTAGCGACGCCGGCCTTGGCCTGTGGACGGGTGTCAGCATCCTTTTTGCCCCCCATGTCCCATGCGCGGGGAGCTTACCATCAGTGTGATGCCTCCGCCTCCATCCTTCCTCCTCCTTCCTCCTTCCTACCCGCAAGATCTGTACGCCCAGTCAGAGTGACTCAGACTCAGACACCAGCTCACACTCAGACCCAATCATACTTAGAATCACTCCTACTCAGACTCACTCCAATTCGGACTGATTCCCCCGCAGCCGCACTCGTACTCTGGTGCCTGGCGAGGCTGACCGTCATCGTACTTGTGCGTAGCCTGCTCCAGCAGGTCGCAGCGACGCGCAGGCTACCGACAGCCAGCAGCCCCACGGGACGGGAGCCGCGCCCTGCATGGGGCCGAAGGCTGCCGCGCGCACCACTGGGCTCGCAGGGCGGGCTCACGGGTCCGAGAGGGCTCAGGCTCCAGTGGTCGTAGGGGGCCTGGGGCCCGTGGTGCTCGCAGGGCTTTGTCGGCCTCAGAGGGGTCCCAGGGCACGCGCAAAGACATGCTGGCACTAGATGTTCTCCCTGGAGGCGCGCGTCCGACCCAAACATAAGGCATACCCATCTTGTAGTACACCCTGCGAAATGCTTAAGAAATCATGGGTTCAGAAATTCATAGTCTCAGAACTTGAATAAAAAACCCAACATTTCTATTAAAATCTTAAGATTTACATTGAAACGTTAAGAATCATCGAGACTCTTTCCGAAAACTTATCGTTTCCCGAGCGGTGTGACCAGAACGCGCCCGCCACGACGCATATACCACAAGATTTCTCGGTGCGCGCATCGCCCCCAGGGGGGCGACGCACATATAGTAGAAGTATGTTTGGGGGGCGCCGATCCTAGGGGTCCCAGGTCCCAGAGCTCATCAGTGTCAGGAGGCCCGTTAGCTCTGCAGGACCCGTGCGGCTCGTGCTGCATGGCGTGCAGCGACGAAGAGTGCCCTCGAGGAACCAGCAGCCGGACAGCCAAGACGTCACTTGTCGGCGCTGGGGGGCACCACCGGCTCGTGTGCACGCTTAGCTGCCCCGATACGCAACACGCAACACGCAGCGTGTTGATACGGAGCCCAACACGCAGACCGAACACGCAGGCCTGACGCGATACGCTCGCTAAAACGTCGGCCAATGCGCTGAGCCAACACGCAACGTATTGACACGGACGTCTTGAACACGGCACGTGCTGTGTGTCAAAACGGGCGTATCGAGGCAGCAGGAGGAGGAGGAGGAGGAGGAGGAGGAGGAGGAGGAGGAGGAGGCAGCCAAGTGTGCACGCGGGCGTGGCGGCGGCGGCACACGCCCGCCCGCAGGCGCCGACCGCCGCCGGCGCCCGCGAGGGCGCAGGCCGGCGCGCCGCCGTCTCCGAGAACTCTTCCCGGATCGGAGGCGAGCGAGGGGGGATCGGAGGCGAGCGAGGGGGGAAGCGAGAAGGAGAAGGCCAGCGAGACACACACACACACACACACAAACACACACACTCACACACACACAAAGAGATGGTCACGAGTCCCAGGCGTCCCCATGCCTTTCCCATGCAGGAGGCCCGCATGAGGCCCCCAGGAGGCCCTCGGGAGGCCCCAGGATGCGCTCAGGAGAACCTCAAGAGGCCCCAAGAGGCAACCAAGAGGCCCAGAAGAGGCCTCCAAGAGGCCCCCCGGAGCCCCCCAACAGGCCCCCAACAGGCCCCCAGCAGGCCCCCAAGAAGCCCCCAAGCTACTCCCGTCGGCGTTGTGCCCGTCGTCGCCGTCGCCGTCGTCCTCGTCCTCGTTGTTGGCGTCGTCGTCGTCGTCGTCGCCGTCGTCGTCGTCGTCGTCGCCGTCGCCGTCGCCGTCACTGCCGTCGTCGTCGTCGTCGCCGCCGTCGTCGTCGTGGTCGTCGTCGTCGTCGTCGCGTCGTCGTCTTCAGGGTCGGCAGCACCGGCCGTAAGGCCTTCACAATAGACACGGTTCCCAAGCGTCCCCATCTCTTCCCATACTTTCCGGAGCTTCGTCTCGTGTTCCCCCCCCACCTCCTGTAGTTTCCCATGTTTCCCTCGGCATCGACGCTGAGCTGTGTCTGGTTTTTTTGCCCCCCCCCCCCCCTGAGCAAAGCGCCCGGGACGGTGCCGCTCTTCCGCCCGCCTCCCGCCCGCCGCCGCCGACGGGGGCGGCCTCGGGCCCATGGGAGCCGCGGCCCGGCCGCGCTGCGGGAGCGGAGGGCGCACCCTGCGACCCGAAGCCGCCGAAGAGATACAGCATCGCATGGGACGCGCGCCTCCAAGGGTTTAGGGTTTAGGGTTTAGGGTTTAGGGGTTAGGGGTTAGGGTTTAGGGTTTAGGGTTCAGGGTACTGCACGTCCTCCTTGGAGGCGCGCGCGCCCGGCACGAGCACGAAGCACATACCCATCTTGCAGCGCCTCGCGCCCCGCGCGGCGTGGGCCAGACAGCGCCCGCCACGGCGCGCACACCCTGCGAGATTTTTCTCGGCGCGCGCGCGTCGCCCTCGCCCTTCGGGGGGCGACGCACACGCAGTAGTAGCATGTTGGGGCGGCGCCGAACGTAGGGAATGGCGCCCGGAGCTCTGGACCCCCCCCCCCCCGTGGCTCCTGATCCGCCGTACTTTGGATGATTTTCCGACCTAAATTTGTGTCGGAAATCGACGCCAAAGGAGCCTCAAGGGCGGAAATCGACGCTCAAAGGTGCCTCAAAAGTAGGGCGGAAATTTCCGCCCTACTTTCGACATCGCCCAAAGTAGGGCGGATCAGGAGTCAGGGCCTGGTCGTGCCGCTAGCAGGGATTGTCGGCCCAGTGCTACCCTTCGCCCCTTATATGAGGCAACGCGAGGGCAGGAAGAGGAGGAGAAGGAGGAGAACAACAACGAAAACGGTTGCACTGACAGATGCGGCACCTCAGCTTGCCAGCTTAGAGCAGCAGCCACCATACCATACAACCGGGCGCTCTTGTGCACGCGCGGAGGAACGTGATCTTCCCGTCCCGGTTGTCTTCTTTTTTTTGCTCCTCTTGATGATCCTGTTACTGTTTGTCCTGGTCCTCGTCTTCTCCTCCTTGCCACCTGCACGGCTGAAGCGAGCGCGGTCTGGAGGGCTGCGTCCGCCGCCGTACGCTGCTTGTGATAACCAATGCGCGCTCGGGAACACTCGAGAACATTACAACTGTTCCCGAATTAAGACAATGCCAAACGTGACTCGAAACGAGACCGAGGCCGAGGCTGCGCATGCTGATACAATAGATTGGATTGCGTTGCGTGGGAACGGCGATGGCACTCGGGATCAGCTCGGGGGCACCCAGGAGGCAGCCGCGGGGAGACTGCTGCATCGCCAAACGAATAAGGGGGCCAGTCGGAAAAAGAGTGGACGTGGATCCCGCACGTGCGTGCGTTCACGGGGTTCGGCCCTGGAGACACTGCACCCACATTCGCACCATATCCTCCTCCTCCTCCTCCTCCTCCTCCTCCTCCTCCTCCTCCTCCTCCTCCTCCTCCTCCTCCTCCTCCTCCTCCTCCTCCCCCTCCCCCGTGTTCATGTTGGCCTTTTTTTGGACCTCAGCAAGTTCTCCCCTACATCCTGGGACACCTCCACGAGCGCCACGTAAACGACCGCGATGAGCCAGAACACCGCCGCGAGCGCCACATCGACCGCGAGGAGCCCGAGGAACGTCGAGAACAGCACGGGGGGGACGTGCTGCCACGGCTTTGATGTGCCCACGGTGTTCCTTTTGGCCCAGGTGGGATGGCTCACGGGAGGCCCTCGCGCAGCGCGCCGTGGGGGCGCTCCGGGGCGCGCAGGCGGCCACGGAGGCTGGTGCCCCGGCCATCGGCGGCGACAGCGATGCCTGGCAGGAAGGCAGCGGCTGGGTCCCCGCGCGGGACTCGGCCTGAACAATGTTTCTCGTGTTCGTCATGGTGTCGCTTCCCTTCGTTTTGCCTCCGGTCCGCCGCTGCCGCAGCACGAAGCCGCCGCGGAAACGGCCCTCGGAATCGCCGAGACTCGCCTTCGAGGATCGAAGGAGTTGTCATCTTTTCCTCGGCGGAAATCGGCGGAAAGACGGCGGAAGGTCGGCGGAAGTAAAACGAGCCGGCGGAAGCTCGGCGGAAGATGGCGAAAGTAAAAAATGCGCCCCAAAGAGATGAACACGTTTCCCAGACCCCCGACGCCATGATTTTTTCATGACGCGACCCCCCAGCAGGTGTCTGAGAGAGCGTGATCCACCGCCGCTTTATTGTGGAAAATTGCCGCCCTTTTCCTCTGGAACCCGGGGTTCCCCCACCCCCCCCTCCGAAAAATCCCCCCCCCCCCCCCCTGCTGGAACCCCTCCCCCCTTCCCCCCCCCTTCCCCCGGCAAAACCCCCCCCCTCCCCTAACCCCCCCCCCCTCTCGAACTCGAAAACCGGGGGGGTCACTACCGGTTCGAACCCCCCCCCCCCTCGAAAACGGAGGGGGGGGTCACTACGGTTCGAACCACTGAGCTGTCCCACTGTTCCCACCACTGTCCCCACTGTCCCACTGTTTCCACCACACCGCCTTCCCACTGTCCCCACCACCACTGTCCCCACCCTACTGTCCACCGTCCCCACCACTGTCCCACTGTCCCCACTGTCCCCGCCATTGTCCTCACCATTAACCCCACCACTACCGTCCCCACCACTGTCCCACTGTCCCCACCATTGTCCCGCTGTCCCCTCACCACTGTCCCCACCACCACCGTCCCCACCACTGTCCGCACCCCCACTCGGTTTTCGAGGGGGGGGGGGGGGTTCGAACCTGTAGTGACCCCCCCCGGTTTTCGAGCTCGAGGGGGGGGGGGGTCGAACCGGTAGTTAGTGACCCCCCCCCTTTTCATGATGAACTGGGGGAGGGGGGGTGGGGGAGGGGTTCAAACCGGTAGTGACACCCCCCCGGTTTTCCGGAGGGGAGGGGGGGAGGGGTTCGAACCGGTAGTGACCCCCCCCAGTTGTTTTCCGCCAGCAGCGGTA